CGTCCCGTCCCGTCGCGTCGCGTCCCGTTCCGTCCCGTCGTCCCGTCCCGTCGTCCCGTCCCGTCCAGTCGCGTCGCGCTCGTCCCGTCCCGTCGTCCCGTCCCGTCGTCCCGTCGCGTCGCGTCAGTCCCGTCTAGCTCGTCGCGTCCGTCCCGTCTGTCCCGTCGCATGCGCCGTGCCTGCCCGTCCCGCAGCGCCACGCCGCGCCCGTCCCGTTCTGCCTGCCGCGCGGCGCCGAGCCGCGCGCGTCCCGTTCTGCCTGCCGCGCGGCGCCGAGCTGCGCGCGTCCCGTCCTGCCTGCCGCGTAGCGCCTCGTGGCGCCCTACCCTAGCGTCCTGCAGTGCCTTGAGCCTGACCCATTGCCTGTCACGCCCTCCTTAGGTCCTTTACGCGTTTAGGGTTTCGGCAGCAGCAGTTCCCACCTCTTCGCTTCCGCTATGGCGACCCCTAGGGCCCTGCGCTTTGACGCCGAGGGTAGGCCACTCGAGTTCTCGGTCTGGCTCCAGTGTGTGCGCCGCCTCCTAGAGATCAGGTTCAGGCAGACGAGTCTTTGTGGGCGCACGCTTCCGGTGACCTTCCTGCGCCCCCCGCCCCTGCACCCTTAGGCGCTGACGCTAGCACTGCAGACAGAGACCGTTATGCACGCCAGCGTGCTGACTTGACAGCGTGGAAGTCGCGTGACGCTGCGACCTTCATCGCCCTTAGCAACCTCCTCCCTAAGTCTGAGGAGGCCCACTTCACTCAGGTTCCCACTGCTAGTGAGTTCCTGACTGCGATCAAGGCCCGCTACGCTACTCCCACCACTGTCTATCTTGGTCGACTTTTCCTCCCGTTCCTGTTTCCTGACTTCGCCTCGTTTGAGCGCTCTGCTGACTTGATCGCTCACCCGCGCTCGCTTGATTCTAGCTACAGCGCTGCCTGCACTGACGCACAGCTTGCACTGCTCCCTCCCCCTATGGCGATTACGATCTATTTCATCGCCACTAGTCTCCCTGACCGCCTTGCCTCGGTTCGTGACGCGCTTCTTCTGAAGCACCCTAGCGAGCTCACTATCGAGGTCCTTGAGTCTGCCCTCAAGGACGTCGAGAGCAACCTCCGCTCGGTAGCCTCCGCCTCTGGTCCTGTGCCCCCTCCACTGTTTCACGGGTGCACTGTCCCTCAGCTGCCCACCTTTACTGCCTCCCTCGCCACTGCCGCTACTGACGTGACCGCAGCTGCTGTTACGACTTCTTTGCGGTCTAGGGGTAGGAGTGGCAGGAGGGGTGGTTAGGGTGCGTGTTAATATGAGAGTGGTAGCCATGGCTAGCAAGATAGGTTGAAGAGATTGATTAGGAAAAAGTGTCGAGAGACAAAAGTAGGAAACCCTAATTGAACTTAGGGTGTGTGCAGTTTGTGCTAGAAACTAAGAAATGAACCTAAATTGAATCGGAAGTGTAACTCGCTCTAAACATGGCGAAATAACAAAGGAACACCATGATAAATGCCAAAGCGAGCTCTAGCCTACTCCAACACACCCCCAGGCTAGGTGAAGCTCTGGAGCAAAACACCTAGCGAACCGGCACACCCCCAGAAGTAGAGAGACGCGCGAGCCCAAGCTCGCGCACGTAGAAACGGTGTGGCGCACGTAGGAGGGCCTTGGTGAAAATATCAGCAAGGTTGGCAGTAGCGTCCACCTTGCAAAGACGTAAGAAGCCAGACTGCACCAGCTCGCGCACGAAGAAGTAGCGGACCTCGATGTGTTTGCTGCGAGCTTGATAGACAGGGTTTTCAGTGAGGTGAATCATGCTCGCACTGTCACAGGAGAGCGTCACAGAGGGCTGAGAGTGACCAAGTTCAGCAAGGAGAAACGAGAGCCAGCGAGCCTCCTGAGCCGCCAGTGTGCCTCCGTACAATTCAGCCTCGCAAGTGGAAAGACAGACAGAGGATGAACGAGTGGAGCGCCAGCTGACGAGGCCACTGCCAAGAGTGAAACCATAACCCTGAGAGGAGCAGCGATCAGGGCGAGAATCAGCGTAGGAGGAATCACTGTAACCGGAAAGAACGGGGGGAGAAGAGCCACCAAGAGTGAGTGCAAGATCAGAGGTAGCGCGGAGATAGCGGAGAACACGCTTGGCTGCCGCCCAGTGCACGTCAGTGTGGCGGCCTAGACCGACAAAGCGAGAGAGAACACTGAGGGGGTAAGCAAGGTCGGGGCGAGTGCACATCATAGCATACATAAGAGACCCAACGAGCTCAGGATAAGGCCGCAGCTCAGAGGAGGGAGCAGGGGCGCAGCTGATGGTTAGCGGGAAGAGGGGTGGAAACGGGCTTGGCCTGCGACATATCAAAACGCTCAAGAATGGAGTGGATGTAGAAACTTTGAGAGAGAGAAATGGTGCGGGCAGCACGATCACGACGGATCTCCATGCCGAGGTAATGACGAAGCTCGCCAAGATCCTTGCAGAGGAGACGCACCTGGAGGGCCTGCTTGACAGCGGCAAGGTCGGCAGAATCTTCAGCAAGGAGCACCAAGTCATCGATGTATGCAAGAATGTAAAGCCTGTGGGGGGGGGTGCGAATGAAGAGACTGGGGTCGGAGGTGGAGGTAGAGAAGCCAAGAGAGTGAAAAGTGGAGGCGAGCTTGGCGTGCCACTCGCGCGGGGCCTGTTTAAGGCCATACACAGGTCGCTTTAATTCCCAAACAGTGCCTGGAGGGAAAGGGCGAGGAAAGCCAGCAGGACGCTCAAGGAATATGCGCTCATGCAGCTCGCCCTGAAGGAAAGCGTTGGAAACGTCCATGGAATGGATCTCCCAATTCCAGCGAGCACCTAAGTCAAGAAGGAGGCGGAGAGTGGGGAGACGGGCTGTGGGGGAGTAAGTGGCAAAGTAGTCAATGCCTTCACGCTGAGTGAAGCCCTTGGCGCAGCAACGGGCTTTGAAGACAGGGAGCTCCCCAGGCAGCTGTTTGACACGAAAGACCCATTTGCCCTTGACAATGGTGGCGCCAGGGGGGGGGACAGAGTCAATGTAAGATTGAGTTCGGGTGAATGCCTCACACTCGGCAATGATGGCACCCATCCACTCAGTTGCATGAAAACCAGACACTGCCTCGGAATAGGTCTGAGGGGTGGGAATAGCGGCAGTGTCAACGGAGAGAAGAGTGGGAGAATTGGAGAAATCGCCAATGGTGACACAGAGGAGGGGTGAAACGGGATGAACAGAGAACAACTCTTCAAATCGATCCTCGAGAAGATCGACGTTTGGAGAGGGAGAGAGACGAGTAAAGAGAGCAGAGTGTTGAAAATTGGACAATGCACGGGTCATGGAGCGGGTGAGACGTGGAGAGGGTGGGGGGGGCAGGTGCAGAAGGGAGGGTAGCAGAAGGAGGTGATGAGGGAGGGGCCATGGGAGCAGAAGATGAAGAGGCAGGAGGAGAGGTGCCAGAGATGACAGCAGAGGGGGGAGTGGAGGGTGCAAGGAGGGGAGCAGATCAAAGTCAGACCAATGAAGAGAGGGAGGAGGAGGGGTGGGAGGGGGAGTGATGAATGGAGAACGAGTTTCATCAAAGATAACATCCTGGCTGCGAAGGAGCTGCTGAGAGGAGGGAGCATAGAAAAGATAGCCAGGACAGTCAGCGTTGATGCCAATGAACGCACAGAGCTGCGTCTTGGGAGCGAGCTTCCCACCCTGACGTGCTCGATCGGCGGGATTGATAAGGACATGAGCGACACAGCCCCACACCCGAAGAGGGCGGGCGGAGGGTTGGCGGCCAGTCCAGAGCTGGAAGGGAGTAATGGAAGGGCGAAGGGGATGGGGGCGAAGGTTGGAAAGAAGAGTGGCATGAACAAGAGCGTAGCTCCAAAGAGAGTATGGAGCAGAAGCATGAGTAAGAAGACAGCGGGAGATCTCCATGAGAGTGCGAATACGACGCTCGGCAACACCATTTTGTTTAGGAGAATGCGGAAGGGTGGAGGTTTGACGAATGCCATGAGAGGAGTAGTAAGAAAGGAGAGAGTGGTTAAAGAACTCGCCACCACCATCAGAGTGGAAGTGTGCGACAGGACGGCCAAAGCAAAGGTGTGCCTGCTCAGCCCAGCGAATGATGAGGGAGGGGGCGTCAGATTTGGCACGAAGGGGATAGACAGTGGCAAAGCGAGAGTGGTCATCGACAAGAAGGAGAAAGTAACGATGACCTTGACGGGAGGCAATGGGAGAGGGACCCCAGAGGTCCATATGCACAAGATCAAGGGGTTTGGGGGAGGCAGAAGGGGGAGAAGGATGAGGAGATTGAGATAGCTTGGCTTGAACACAAGGGGTGCATGGAGGAGCGGGAGAGGGGGGAAGGGGTGGGAGAGAGGGAGGGAGATCATGAAGCAGCTTTGAAGTGACCATGCTGCGAAGGAGAGGGAAGTTGGGGTGGCCAAGACGATGATGAAGAAGAAGGGTAGGTTGGGTGAGAGAGCGACAGTCGCAAGAGGAGACGGGAGGGGCAGAAGAAGAAGAAGAAGAAATGTGATGGACAGATGAGGGGAGGGGAACACGAAGGGTGTAGAGGCGAGTAATAGGAGAAAGGGTGAAACGAGCAAGGTGCCGGTCGCGGTAATGAAGATCACAATAGAGTTCACCTGCAGGGAAGAGTGCTCGCACACCCAGGCGTTGGAGGGCAGGGAGGGAGAGGAGGTTATGACGGCAAGAGGGAACATAAAGGCCAGTGACAGCGCCAGAGGGAGAGGCAGGACAGGGAAGAGAGGAAGTGCTAGTGCATATGATGGTCATGGTCTCCCCAGCCCCATCAATAGAGAGGGGACGAGGAAAATTGCGAAGGACACCAGCATCACGAAAGACAGAGTCAGTAGCAGCACTGTCAAGGACAAAATCCAAGGTGCGAGGAAGTGAGAGAGCGGCAGCCGTAGGGCTGGGAGAGTGAGAGACAGTGCTGTGAACGAATGGAGAAAGTGGAACAACAAAACGAGGGTCCATAAGAGGAGAAGCACCAAGGATGCTATCCTGAGATGGCATGGTCACACTGAAGACAGAGGCCAGAGAACCAATACCAGAGGTGACAACGGCACAAGAGCGGCGACGTTGATGGGACAGCGGAATCCAAGCAGAGGGGCGGAGAAGAGGGGAGGTCCAACGGCAAGTAGGAGAGGTGCAAGGGGAGGAATGGGCAGCGAAAGGAGCGGAGAGCAGGGAAGGCAAGGGTAGGAGAGGAGGTACGGCAGGAGACAGGTGAGGGCGGAAGCACAGAGGGGGAGAGGTAAGAGTGAGAATAGGCCCCATCTGGGGAAGGGGATAGCAATAGAGCAGATGTGGGGAGATAAAATAGGAGGAGGAATAGGGGCGAGAGAGTCAGCTGCTGAGCCGTTGAGGGGAGACATAAGAGGAGGAGGAATAACGGCGGAGTAGTCTGCTGCTGCGCCGCTGAGGGGAGAAATAAGAGGAGGAGGGATAATGGCGGAGTAGTCTGCTGCTGCGCCGCTAAGGGGAGAAATAAGAGGAGGGATAATGGCGGAGTAGTCCGCTGCTGCGCCGCGGAGGGGAGAAATAAGAGGAGGAGGGATAATGGCGGAGTAGTCTGCTGCTGCGCCGCAGAGGGGAGAAAATATAGGAGGAGGAACACAGTGGGGAAGGAGCACGGCTACGAAGCAGGGCCGGCAACCAGCCGCAGCAGTAGAGGAGAGGAGAGAGAGGCGGAGGAGAGAATGAGATGGAGAGGGGAATGAAAGGAGAGAAGAGAGGAGGAGGAGGGTGAAGGGGCGGATGGTGAGGACGGGTAGGTATTGATGAGCAAGATTACGAAGCAAAGCCGGCAACCGGCTGCAGCAGTAGACGAGAGGAGAGAGGCGGAGGAGAGAGTGAGATGGGGAAGGGAATGAAGGGAGAGAAGAGAGGAGGAGGAGGGTGAAGGGGCGGATGGTGGGGAAGGGTAGTAGATAAGGAGAGAAAATAGGAGGAGGAAGAGGTGGGGTGGTGCTTGACGCACAAAGGAGAGTGGAGGAAGGGAGGAGGAGCACGAAGGGTAGGGAGGAGAGAAGAGAGGGGGAGGAGTGTAAGAGGCGAATGTGATGAGCGGAGAGGGAGGAGGTGGTGCGAAGGAGGCAGGAGAAGGGGGGAGGTGGGAGGAGGAGTTCGGCGCACCACGAAGGGGGAGGAAGATGCCCGCGAAAAGGGGGGGGGGGGGGGAAGGGAGGGCGACCGCGGAAAGGAGAGAATGGGCGGCGGGGAGAGTGACGGTGGTGGGCAGGCCGTGCGCGCGCGACGGCGGCGGACAAGGCGCGCGAGCGCGCGACGTCGGCGGAGAGGGCGTGCGCGCGACGGCAGAGGAAGGGCTCTTGCGCGCGACGGGAGGGCAGGACGCACGACGGGAGGGCAGGGCGCACGACGAGGCAGGGCAGGGCGTACGCGACGAGGGGAAATGGCGTGCGACTAGGCGACGAGGCGCGCGATGGGGTGGGGAGGCCGCGGGGGATGGATAAGGGGTCCGCGAGTTGAAAATGAGGGAAAGAGAAAGAATAAACGAAGGTCGAGATGGTAAGAAACGAAAACCTACACTAAGTGTGAAGTGGCGCCCCGGATGCGTAAGGTCTAAAGCGTCCTAAGAGATGTAGATAAGCAGAAAACGCCAAGGATTAGGCTCTGGATACCATGTTAATATGAGAGTGGTAGCCATGGCTAGCAAGATAGGTTGAAGAGATTGATTAGGAAAAAGTGTCAAGAGACAAAAGTAGGAAACCCTAATTGAACTTAGGGTGTGTTCAGTTTGTGCTAGAAACTAAGAAATGAACCTAAACTGAACCGGAAGTGTAACTCGCTCTAAACATGGCGAAATAACAAAGGAACACCATGATAAATGCCAGAGCGAGCTCTAGCCTACTCCAACAGTGCGGGCGGAGGCGGCGGAGGCAGCGGAGGTGGCGTGGCGAGCGGCGGTGGCGGCAGTACATCGGCTATTAGCTCCTCTACTGCAGCTGGTGGAGGTGACGCTCGGGTTCGTCAGGCACCTGCTGGTCCGCCAGCTGCAGGTGCTGGAGTGGCGGCTTGGTACCTGGCTCAGCGGCAGCAGCAGCAGCAGCAGCAGCCCCTCCTCTCGCAGCAGCCACAGCAGCAGCAGCGGCAGCAGCAGGCTCCGGGGCAGGGGTCAGGACCGCGTCAGCTGTCGCGTGGCGTCGTCCACCCTCCCTGCACCTACCTCGTTCAGACAGGTGCTCGCCGAGGCCTCCCCTGTGGCCGCACCCACCCACCGGGTCAGTGCTTTGCTCAGCTCACTGACAGACTTCGTGCGGCCTACGGCGTTGACGGCCCTGCCCCTGACTGGCTTCCCCTTGTTCAGTCGTACGGCCCTGCTCTGTGGGGCATGTCGACTTCTCAGTTGCTTGATCTCTTAGCAACTCCTCATGCTATGTATGCTGTTGTTGATCCTAGTGCTTCTGACTCTATTTACTCGAGTGTTGTTAGCTTAGGTGCTAGTGTTGCTGAGGTGCATGTGGCTAGCGTAGGTACTTGTGTAGACACTAGTCCAGGAGCTGCTCCGGAGGACACTTCGCTGTCTTTCACTCTGGACTCCGGAGCTTCGTACTGTTTCTTCCGCGACCACACGACGCTTACTCCGCTTCCTGCCCCGGTCTCTGTGGCACTGGCTGATCCCACTTCGGGACCAGTCACTGCTCGCTACACTACTACGCTTCCATGCCCGGCTGTTCCCTCCGGTTCTCTGACCGGCTTCCACGTCCCCTCGTTCTCGAGGAACTTGGTGGGCGTGAGGCCGCTCGTGAGTCAGCACATGGGTGTGTGGATTGAGCCTTCTGACGAGACTGCGGTTTGTGTCGACGGGGACACGTACGCGCCTCTCGCCACCTTTACCGCTGAGCCGGGCTCTGGTCTCTACACACTTCACACTGTGCCTCGGCAGCAGCAGCAGCAGCAGCAGCAGCAGCAGCCGTGACAGCAGCAGCAGCTACTGCCCCCGACCACTGTCACTGCCCCCCGTCAGGTCCCCCCCCCTTCACCAGGTTGCCGCTTCTCACCAGGTAGCTGTGTCTGGTCAGGTTCCCGTGTTGGTCCAGTTGCTGCGTCTTGCTCCTGCCGGTCACTTGCCCACCCCACCGTTCTGTGGCACCACCGGATGGGGCACCCGTCCATTCCTCGTCTGCGCGCTATGTCTAGTTAGCGTCTTGTCTTAGGCCTCCCGCGAGTCTTGCCGTCGATGCCGCCTTCGCTTGCACCACCTTGCGGTCCCTGCGTCGAGGGTCAGCTGCACGCCACCCCTCACTCCTCCTCCCTTCGTCCGGCCACCGAGCCCTTTGAGACTCTCCACATGGACGTCTGGGGCCCCGCCCTTCACCCTGGCCCTGAGCGAGAGAGTTTCTTTCTGGTGGTCGTTGACGACTACTCTCGCTACACCACAGTGTTCCCCCTGGCGAAGAAGTCTGAGGTGACTTCTACGCTGATCCGGTGGTTACTTACCACTGCGGACACTCGTGGTCGTCGTGTCAGCTGTCTTCACTCCGACCGTGGGGGTGAGTTTCGCTCCGGCATTCTCGCTGGATTCTGTCGCGAGCAGGGCATCCGTCAGTTCTGGACGCTTCCAGAGTCCCCACAGCAGAATGGGGTTACTGAGCGCCGCATAGGCTTGGTCATGGAGATTGCACGCACCTCCATGATTCACGCCCGTGCGCCCCATTTTCTGTGGCTCTACGCGGTTCGGTACGCCGCTCACCAGCTGAACCTCTGGCCACATGTCTATCGGCCAGAGGCTTCACCGACCAGTCTTTGGACCGGGTCCCCTGATGCTGCGTCGCGTTTTCGTGTCTGGGGCTGCTTGGCGCTTGTTCGCGACACCTCCGCGGATAAGCTCTCTCCTCGCGCCCTTCCCTGTGTCTTCCTTGGTTTCCCCGAGGACTCCTCTGGCTTCACCTTTTACCACCCTCCCCTTCACAGGTTCTTTGACTCCCGCAACGTTCGTTTTGTGGAGTCCGTCCCCTACTACACCCGGTACCCCTGTCGAGGTCTTTCGGTTCCTCCTCCCCCTCTCTTCCTGACTCCCGCCCCCTCTCCTGCCCCCCCGGTACAGCCCCCCCCCCTTGGTCCAGCCCCGTCATGTGTGTCACACGCTACCCCCCCCCCCCCCCTCGGTCGCCCCTCAGGTACCGTCCACTTCCCCACAGTCCTCCTCCCAGCCTACTGCAGACCCTGCGGGAGCAGGTGCTCGTGTCGAGGACCTTGGAGGTGCTACCTCTGGAGGTGTTGGAGTTGGAGCTGAGCCCGTGTCTGCAGGAGGTTCTCGTGTTCGGGGAGCTGGTGTTGGTCGAGCTGTCCCTGGGGGTGCTACGACTGGGGGTGCGGGTGCACCCACTGCGGGACCTGGAGAGTCTGGGACTGGTCGTGTTGCTGCTGGTGGTGCTGGCTCTGGGGGTGGTGCGACTGGTGCTTTGGAGAGCGGTCCTGGGGCTACCACCGCCCCGGACATACTCCTCCCCCCCACCCCTACCCGACCCGGCACCTGGCCCGTGTTCGCCGTGCCCGTGAGGAGCAGCTGGAGTTGGAGCGAGAGGAGCGAGAGTTCGAGCGGCAGCAGCTGGAGCTACAGCGGCTGGAGGAGCAGCAGCAGGAGCAGCGGTTGCAGCCGGAGCAGGAGCAGCAGCCGCAGCGACAGCCGCAGCAGCAGCAGGAGCCGCAGCTGGATGAGCAGCGGCAGCAGGAGGAGCTGCAGCAGGAGCAGCAGCAGCCACCGCAGCAGCAGGAGCAGCAGCAGCAGCTGCCGCAGCAGGAGCAGCTGCAGCAGCCGCCGCAGCAGCAGCAGCAGCCGCCTCCTCCGCCTCCCGCCTTTGGCCTTCGGGCCCTCGGTCTCCCCTCTCCCTCTCCTCCCTCCTCTCCCTCTCCTCCTGTCTACGGTCCCACGTTTCCTCCTCCTGACCCCTCCCCAGTTGTTTTCACTCCTTCTCCTCTGTTGTCCCCTCCTCTTTCTCACGCTTGGCCTTCCCGTCGCTCTCCTCGTGCTCGTCCGTCGTCCCCTGTGCCCTTGACTGGCCTTCGTACTGTCCTGTGTCGTTCTAGTCCGCCTCGTTCGTCTCAGTCTGTGCTTCCTTCTCCTCCTGAGTCGGCCTTCACTGCTTCCCTCTCTACTCCTGTCACTGACTACTACCGCACGTACCAACCTGTTCTCTCTCGTGTTCTCGGCTCTCTTGTTACGGACCCTCGTGCCTCTCTGTCATCTGTCTCCGCCCTTACTGTCGCCGTCACTGAGTTCGCCACTACTCGCCGCCTTGACTGCGCCACTTGTC